TGACGGCTAGTGGCGTTCTGTTATTTTCTTTGTTAGGCCTGTAGTAGGTGACTTCTGGGAACTCTTCTGGCTCTGTCAATCTGTTTCTTCACTTCAGCAGGGGGGTACTGTAGTTGTAAGAATGCTTGATAGAGATCTTTTAGATGTTTGTCTCTGTCTGAGGGGTTGGAGCAAATGCGGTTGTGTCGCAGAGCTTGGCTGTAGATGATGGATCGTGTGGTGTGGTCAGGGTGAAAGCTGGAGGCATGTAGGTAGGAATAGCGGTCAGTAGGTTTCCGGTATAGGGTGGTGTTTATGTGACCATTGTTTATTAGCACTGTAGTGTCCAGGAAGTGGATCTCTTGTGTGGACTGGACCAGGCTGAGGTTGATGGTGGGATGGAAATTGTTGAAATCATGGTGGAATTCCTCAAGGGCTTCTTTTCCATGGGTCCAGATGATGAAGATTTCGTCAATATAGCGCAAGTAGAGTAGAGGCGTTAGGGGACGAGAGCTGAGGAAGCGTTGTTCTAAGTCAGCCATAAAAATGTTGGCATACTGTGGGGCCATGCGGGTACCCATAGCAGTGCCGCTGATTTGAAGGTATACATTGTCCCCAAATGTAAAATAGTTATGGGTAAGGACAAAGTCACAAAGTTCAGCCACCAGGTTAGCCGTGACATTATCGGAGACGGTGTTCTTGACGGCTTGTAGTCCATCTTTGTGTGGAATGTTGGTGCAGAGGGCTTCTACATCCATAGTGGCCAGGATGGTGTTATCAGGAAGATCACCGATGGATTGTAGTTTCCTCAGGAAGTCAGTGGTGTCTCGAAGGTAGCTGGGAGTGTTGGTAGTGTAGGGCCTGAGGAGAGAGTCTACATAGCCAGACAATCCTTGATTATCATACACATTGTAAGGAGAGTGATCACTTTAGATAAGCTATTACCATCAGGAGAGTGGGGTGGGGAGAGAGAAAACCTTTTGTAGTGATAAACACTCTCTTTTTTTTCATGGTTTGTGTGTATAAAAACATCTTCTGTATTTTCCACAGTATGCATCCGATGAAGTGAGCTGTAGCTCACGAAAGCTTATGCTCAAATAAATTGGTTAGTCTCTAAGGTGCCACAAGTACTCCTTAAATGGTACTGTCCATGGTGCTGATTATTGCATTTAATTTTATAAAAACGTGTTTAAGGTAAAACAGAAACCCCTTTTGTGTTTCTGTGTAGTCAAACAGATCAGTGCAAATTACATTTTGTGTCACTACACAATGATGCAAGTCCTACACTGTCTCTAAATGAATTCAGATTACTATGAAAAGCTTTCATTCAGCAACAATATACAGGTTTCAGAGGAACAGCCGTGTTAGTCTGTATTCGCAAAAAGAAAAGGAGTACTTGTGGCACCTTAGAGACTAACCAATTTATTTGAGCATGAGCTTTCGTGAGCTACAGCTCACTTCATCAGATGTATACAGTTATAGCAAAAGTATTGTTATAGCAATAGTGGCAAGATTTACAGTATATTTTGTTTAAGAAATAAATTCTTCACATAAGTGCTTCTTGGCTCATTCCAAAGAACGCCTATGCAGTGCTTGTTTTCTATTAGATACTAAGTAACACCCCAGCAGCTGGTTCAAGTAGTAATTATCAGATATGTAGGCATGAGAGAGATGAGACACTAAGTAATAGTAACAACATTAATTTTAGTATGCTTGGGGGTGGAAAGGTCTCAAATTAGTATGATGGCACAACTCCAGAAAGTGAGTTTTCACATAAATGAGGAAGTAAATAAAAAAGGCCTTAAAGTCAAAAGAAATAACAATCTTTAAGATCTGGCAAGAATGCTACCTATTATTCAGTAGCATTTAAGCATACCATAAGAGTCACACATGGCATGCAGACTTCTGGACAAAGGAGGAAATAGGAAAGCAAGTTATAAATCAGCGTGGCTCAATGGCAAAGCTCAAGAGGTTATTTCAGCCAGACAGCTATCCTTCTGAAAATAGAAATCCAACCCTAATAAGGCCAATAATAAGTGTAGAGCACATGAGCCAATATGTAAGAAAAAAATGAAGAGGGCTAAGATGGAATTTTGAGATAAATGCCCAACAACAATTTTTCAAATACCAGAATCTGTAAGCCTGTAACAGAATCAATAGGTGTGCCTCAATGATGAGGGAGTAAAGGGAGCAAGTCAGAAGGATAATGAATTTGCAGATAAGCTAAATGAACGATTTTCTTCACATCTCTCTTTTAGTATACATTACAAAAGTTAATTTACCTATCATTGGGTTAGACAGCAACAGCTTTCTTAAAGAGCACAAATCAGAAATACATATCAGGTTAGGACAAAAGTGAAGAATACCTATAAAAAGGAGTATCAGTTGAAACAGATGGGGGAATTTCATCAGGCAGATGTAATTACCCACGTTGGGGATTTTTAAGAGCAGGTTGGATAAACCCCTATCAGAGATCGTCTAAATCAGAGTTCTCAAATTCCCGGCCCGCTGGCCATCTGCAGCCCATGAACCACCCCAGTGTGGCCGGTGGGACTCCAGCAGTTTTTGGGGCCGGGTCTCTCCCTTGGACCCACCTGCCACCCCCGGGCCTCCTCCTCCAGGGGCCCCGGCAGTGCAGCGGAGCTGTGTGGCGTCTGTCTGCTCGCTCCAGTGGCTGTCGGCCCCTCCCTAGGGCGGGGCTGTGCCTCCATGCACTGTCCCCGCCCTGAGCACCCTGCGGCCAATGGGAAGCTGTGGGGGTGGTGCCTGAGGGCAGGGGTGCATGGAGGTCCCCTGGCCCGCCCTGCCTTGGAGCCCCAGGTAAACACCACACCCCCAACTCTCTCTCCCAGAGCCTGTACCCCTCCCCTGGCTTCAGACTATGGGAAGAAAGAGCCATGCAACTTGCATTTTCTCATTTTTTTTGGCTCCAGTCTGTAAATTTATGGGACTGCACCAGTATAACTAGAAAATGAGTTTAATACATGTTAATATGCAAAAGATTCTATGGAGCTTAAGGAAAGGGAATAAGGAAAATTGGGGGAGGGAATCTTGTGTTAATTCTCTAAGTTTAAGATGTTTTAACTGGTCACCACAGTTCCCACAAAAGACATACACAGGGGCTGTGGACGTTCACTGCAAACACCTCTGAGTGTGAAGGAGCTGTGGTGGCCACACAAGCTAGCCATGTAAGAGTTAACACACTATAAAGAATAATGGTGCGTTTAATACTGTCGAGTAGAACAGCTTAGGAATTTTCAGGCCAGGCTGCTCAGTTCCCTGGCTGGCCTGATCCCTGGCAGCCTGGACTCGCAGGCACCACACACTGCCCAGGCAGCAAACTGAAAATTTCAGTTTTCCTGAAATAGACTGAAAATAATCTATCCCTAACTATGAAAAATGTCATCCCCCACCTTTTTTCGGTCCTGATTTGGGATTAAAGTTTTTTCAAAAATTCAAAATTTTGCTTGGGAGGGAAAGACTGCTTTCTGGCCAGCTTTACTTCTGAGTCATAGTTCTAGGCTTCATGAGTCTCAATGCAGACAGTAATGGTTATGGTTTGTGTTGCTGCTCTGTGTTGATTTTAATAAATATATGGGTAGAGCACCCTTTTTAAGCACCCTCTCATGGCCAGAGATTGCTTTACAGGCACTCTGCTGCCATTTGCCTGTCTTGTGGACCCCTTAAGCACTCCAGATAGTCTCTGTTGTGACCCTCAGCACCCTTTTCTAGAGCTGGTTTAATCAGAGGTGAAAGTAAGCTGGTACGCCTCGGTACACGGGACCGGCTTTCGCAGATGGCAATTTAAAGCTCTGGGGTAGCGGTGGCGGGGCTCTGGCGGGGATTTAAAGGGCCCCGGAGCTCCAACCGCTACTGCCCTGGACCTGTAAATCCCCACCTGAGCCCTGCTGTCCAAGCCCTAGGGACTTGGACAGCAGGGAAGTGTTACACCGGAAAACACTATCAGATGTGATTTCTTAGCTAATAGTGTCACTTATTATTTTCCATGATTATTTGCTATTTAAACCATAAATTAAATAGCATCTTGACATTAAGCATGATTTTAATCAAGGTAAATGATGTGCTAAGGACAATGTGTAATAAGCATACTGTTTAAAAGTAGTTTTACCCTCCTTTTATTTTTAAGAGTGCAATACAGGAACTGAAGTACCAGTCAGGCACTCAGCATTGCAGACAAGAGATGAGGCTATATGCAGCCATGCTACACCTATGTAAACTGATAGGGAATTCTTTTAAAAACTACAACCATATATGATAACCCTGAAAGCCTTTTTTAGGTAGAGGGTATCTGTAAACTATTTCATGGAATCAAGTCTTCTTTGGGTGCTCGATACATTATTTCAGCTAGAGAAGAGCTGCTTATTCTAGACATTGGGCTACCCCTAGTTTTAGACACCACACGACCTAGGGAGGTGGTACAGAGATGTAACCTCCACAGAGAAGCACAAGCTTCGCTGCTACCCACATCGCATGTTGGCAGCCACTGCGGATGGCTCACCCCGTTTGGTAACTTTCATTCCTTTTGCCCAGCCCAGTCCCCTTTGCCCGTTCCCCTCTCTGCCGGTCAGCCCACCTGCCCCTTTCTTGTCCCTGACTTTGCCCCTACCTCCACCTGTTTCACCCTCCTCTGGCCATGTATTGCCCCCTGCTCTGTCCTGTCCGTTCCTCCCTCCTCTCGCTTTCATCCCGCTCGGTGAGCGGACTCTGGCGGCTGAGAAGGGCAGCGCGGGGGCAGCGCTTTCAGCGGGCGGCGCCGGGCATGCTCACACGGCCCGGGCATGCGCACAAGAGCCCGATCTGAGGGGAAGCTGTTTCTGGCGCTCACCGTTCCGGGCGGTGTCTCGGTGCAGCCATGTCTGGCGCGAGGAGACCAGCGCCGCTCATTCGGCGGCGCCCTCTGTGAGGAGGCGGAGGAGAGGGCAGCGGCGGGCATCCATGTCGGCGGCCAGGGATTAGCGAGGGAGACACCGAGCCCGGGAGGGGGAGGGTAACTGGGCCCCCTCTCCTCTAGGGCTCCGGCGGGGGAGACGCGGAGCCGGCCGGCGGTGGGGACATGGCTGACCGGAATGCCCCCAACTGCCACCTGCGGCTAGAGTGGGTCTATGGCTACCGGGGTCACCAGTGCCGCAACAACCTCTACTACACGGCGGCTAAGGAGATCGTCTACTTCGTGGCGGGGGTCGGCGTGGTCTACAGCCCCCGGGAGCACCGGCAGAAATTCTACCTGGGGCACCAGGACGACATCATCAGGTACGGAGACCCTCACGCCCTTCCCTGTGCCCTCGCCTCGGAGCCCGGCCGGGGCCCGGGATGTCCCAGCGACTGGAGACACCCTTCTATCCATCAACCCCCACTCTCCCTATTGCCTCCACCTTCAGCCGCGGGAGCACCTGGCGAAGCCCTGCCTGGGGCACCAGGACATCCCCGGGTATCCGAGACCCCGATCCTCAAAACATCGGTAGAAATTGTACTTGGGATACCGGACTGTGTCACGTCCAGTGCCAGGGTCACCAGACCTCCCACCCCTTTCTCCTGGCGTCCAGTGCCAGGGTCACCAGACCTCCCACCCCTTTCTCCTGGCGTCCAGTGATCACAAGCAGAATATTGGAAATAATCTGAATATGCCAATGACAGTGAGGCTTTAATCTCTTCCCCGCCCTCTCCCCTTACAATTTAGTTTGTCTTGTATAGCAGCAAGAATAGAAATCCCTATAGAAATGGCTTTTGGATCGCGCGGTTCACTGCCGGCTTTCCTCAGGTGCTTGGTGCTGAAATTTGTATGCATGGCTGTATGTCAATATTTTGCCAGTATAAAATGATGTGTCTCGACCGTTGCTTGGTTCCCATCTGTGTGTACAAGTCAAAAGGCTGGGAAGTGAGGAAGTAGTAATCTGATGTGCATTTCAAAGTCATTAAACTCAGGAGGAGGTTAATCTGCAGCAGGTAGACCTTTGGCCCACATCTAAATACAGGGATTAGAGCATGGAAATAAAAGACACATCTGCAGCTTCTGCAACGTTTAAGATAATTTTATAATAGCAAACATTCTTGCAGATTTGAAATTTATTCTACAGATCTGTCTAATTGTAGTAGGCTGAGTCTTATCAGGTGTTGAAGTTAATAAAAAAGATTAAACACCAGTGATGCATAAGTAGAGTAGATGTCATGGAGGCGGAGTTATTTCCTAAATACACCAAACCAATCTTAGTAGGCTTTTGGATAGCCAGATAGTATTGGAAGGCGAGTGGCAGTATTTTGAAGTGTATAAAGGGAAGATGTGAACCTGAGTCAGTAATCCTTTCTCTTCCAGTAGGCCTCATTGTGTGTGGATTTTAAATATTGTTGTCCTTTGATTGCTGTTTTTATTTAGAGAACAGTTTTTCAGTAGCCAGTAAATCTTGTAAAAACACATTGTATACTGTGAATTGCTTGTGATGCTGGAAAGCACTTGGCATATCTTTTATATTAGCTGTACAAATGTATTAACTAGCTTTGCACATAGAGAGTAAAATGGATGCTGACTCTTTCATTCAGGGTTTAATACATTCTAGAAATCTGGACCAAAATGGCCACAAATATTTCAGTTTTTATTTCGATCTTAAAATTCTGTTTAGGGTCTTTTCAAACTTTTGAAGATTTTAAAGTACGGGTATGAGCCTCTCTTACAGACCATTCTGTCCCTAAATTAATTCCTACTTGGTGCTCAAAATGAGAAGAAAAAATTAGGTAGCTCATGGAATGCTGTAGTGTACTATGCAACCAAGCTGGGTCAGATATGTGAATTAGCTATTTGTTTTATGGTCATTTCATTCTTTTTTGACAATTTCCTCTTAATCTGAAACAAAAAAGCACCTCAAGAATTGTCATCAACTCCTCAGGCAAGGGGACATTGTGGAAAATCTTCAGCATAGCTCCCATGAGCCTTGGCTTCCTTTGAGCACAGCTCATACGAATGACGGGCCCAATCCTGAAAAGGTTTACTACATAGTGCTTACTGACATGAATAGTTCTCATTGATGTAGTACTTGCTAACATGAAGTTTCCCTGTTGATTTCAATGGGGCTACTTACAGCATTACACCTGGTAGAAGTGTTGACAGGATTGGACCATGAGAAAGAAATTGTTTATGGCTTCCAACTGTGAAATTTCTTTGGTCTCTATGAATGTTTGTATGGAGTGCTAATTTGGAATAAAAGGCTAATAACTACTTATCATTCAAAAGGCTAATAACTACTTATCATTCATACTTATTATACCAAAGAACAGAATATCTGCAAGGGGGAAATCTTTAGTTACTTTCCTGATTGTTGGTAGATATGTTTTGGCTTCTGTGGTATCATGATCAAACATACAGGAAGTTCTTGCTTACAAGGTAATGCTGTTACGGTGATCCGATTCTTTATCTGCTTGCTGAGGAAACCCTTGTGAAGCGGGTAGTGTTTTCAATTGTGTACAGTTTTGTATGCCTATCAAACGTTAGAAAGACTATATAGAACTGTTAGAACACTTGAAGATGTAGTGAACATTCATCTCAACAGTAGAATGACTGTTTCCAATGATACCATCACATTTTTTTATGATTAATGGGGTTGCTTTCTCCTTTAAAAAACAAAAAAAACCAACCCAACCTTGGTAGCTTTTCAAACTCAACTTTAGTGACTGAGGACATTAGTTCTTAAAGATATCTGACTTTTAGCATCTCATCCTCCTGAAATATTAAATTAAATGTTTTCTCAAAGAAATTAGCTATGAGAAAAATGTGAGAATGTCATTGAAGGTGGGATTATATAACAGAATAATCATTATAGCTGCTTTATTTTCTCTCCATAAAGTAGCAAGTTTTCAGTATACTGAAAATTTGCTCATACAGTTTGATTTGATAAAACATGTTGAATACCTCGATGTTGTGACTTACAATCTCTGCAGGAAGAAAACTGCAGGATTGCCATTTCTGTATGCATACATGAGTTCTCAGTTGTAAAGTCAGGACTGAGGTTTTAAACTTTGTAATGTATTAAAAAATCAAACTTGAGTGCATATGCATCTACGTCTGCTAAATTTAAATTGAATTATAAACTTTTGATAACTAGGTCCCATAATACAAAGTGGGTAGATAATTGGTACTCTTCTGCATAGCTATGGCATGTTTTGAATGACATTAAGCAGCACTCAGGAAGACAGGAATTGCCATACCAGATCACACCAGTCATCCCTCTAGACCAGTCCAGTATCCTGTTTCTGATAATGGTGGGTGCTAGATTCTTGAGAAGGGTGCAAGAACTTCTTTAGTAGTCAATTACGGAATACTGTAACTTGTCCATAGTTGACAGGGAGTTTCCTCCTAATACCATCAGTTAGTGGTTAGCTTCTGGTATCAAGATTTAAATCTCTTATTTAAAATAAAACACACACACGGTTTAATCATACCTAATTTAGCTAGATGTTCTCATTATCCATATAAAATGTCTAATCTTATTTTTAATCATGGTAAACCCTTGGCCTCCGTTTTACCTGTGGGAATGAGTCCCACAGGTTAATTATGCATTGAGAGAGAAAAAAAGTTTTCTTTTTATCTGTTCCTTGCCTTTCAATTTAATTGAATGTCCTTTTGTTTTTTGTTATATGAGAGATATATGAGACATTACATAATTAGGATCACTCAAATTACTTTCTCTGATATCATTAATTATTTTGTATACCTCCATCATGTCCGTCCCCTTATTTGTCTCCTCTCTAAAATGAACAGTCTCAGTCTCCTCAATTTCTCTTCATAAAAGGGCTGTCCATGCCTCTAATCATTTTTGTTCCTCGTGTTAGGACTCCATTTATTTTTGGTATATATCTTCTGAGAGTCAATAACCAGAAGTGAACACAGTATTCCAGGTAAGGATATATAATTGATGCATATTAGAATGTAATACTGAAAATATTATATCATATTCTTTATTAGAGTAGTTCAGCAGTGCCACTATACTTAAAGTTGTGCCACAACTTCTGTTTAAAGGTCAGCCTTGCTAAATCCTCTAAAATTGACATGTTTAGTTGGATTTCTTTGAAGTTTGGTGTGGCTCAGAAAGGTGCAGTGACCTGACTTTGAGGTCATTTGAGCCATGGTCTCTTGAGATATAATAAGGCCCCTCACAAAAATAGTCATTTTTCAAAAAGTTTCTAGGTGGGTTTTCTTTGCACAGAGCTAAAGATCAAACTATTGATGTATTGCAGGCCAAAATGGTCTCAATCTTTTGAGTTTTACCCAAAGTAGTATATGGCTCCCACTAAGTCTTTGGAGGACACAAATTGAGAATGGTATTTAAGAAAATGTACATTTTTTACAGTGCATGTGTCAATACAGGAAAAACAGAGGCTTTTCTTTCCCACCATTTTATATATTTTAAAACTTGACTCTTGTAAGTGCTCTAAACTCCAAATGGTTATTTGGATTGCTTTGAAATTTGGTGTTCCTTGCATGCAGTAGTGTTAGTGGTCCAAATTTGGGGTCATTTAACGGACGGGTTTCTGAGTTACAGGGCCCCCCGAAACACTTCAGTTCTGCTGCCTGGTACTGTTAACTCAGAGGTGATAATTATTGGATGAATCACTGACCTTGTTGAGATTGATGGGTTCAATTATAATAACTAAGGATACATTAATCACAAGCCCCCACCTAAAACAAAAGGAGTTTGGGACTGAATGGCTGGAGGTTGCTGCAATTTGTGAATCATGGGTGGCAATTTTACTTTGTGGGGAATGTAATCAAAGTCTTTGGAGGATAAAATTAGATATGTAAATACTTCCTGGGAGGGGAAGGAATATTAGGGGGCAGAGGTGTGGGGCAGTGAAGGGAGAGATCTTTGGGGCTGCAGTGAGGGGAGGGGAAAAATTAGGACTGGTGGTAGGGGAGGGGAGAGAGGTTGGAGGCTCATGTAAGGGTGGTGTGGGGATTAGGGGGGATGTGTGGGTGAGTGGCAGAGGGACTGAGGGAGAATGGGGCGGGCGCACTTGTCAGCTCCACATTCTCCCCTCCTGTGTGTCTAAATTTTGGGGGGGGGGTTCTTGCCTCTCTGGGACCCCCCCATGAGCTGGGATATAGGGGTTCTTGTTCCACTGAAGGTGTCTGAATTCCTCTCCTGCTCCCCTTGTATGGGCCAGGATTTGGGGGCCATGTGCCCATCTACAAGGGTTGGAACACCTCCCTACCCCATTCATGTGAACTGGGTTCTGGCCGTGCCCTTTTGGGAGGGTTTGAAGCC